GCCTCCAAAAAGTGTACTAATTTCTGCTTAGTGCAATTTTTCAACCATTGTGGATGGGCATGTACTTTTCCATGGTGTTCACCCACACCGAGGCCAGGAAGGATCGTCCTCTTTTTTTCGGGGTGGGGGGGATGGAACTTTTGGCCTGTTTTTATACTCTGCATAAAATATGATTGGTAAATTTTTTTTCACTTTTTATTTGATTATTTTACTTTTTTTGCCTGGCAATTTGTACCCGCCTCCCCTTCGATATGCCCGACTACTTTAATACCGTGGAGGAACTGTGCGATTCAGGGAAAGCTTCTTACTCTACTATTCATCCCAAGTGTCCAAGTAGGGTGCTTTTAATTCCTTGCCCACTTTGAGTATATCCCCACTGCTTGATAATGGAAGTACACACACCGAAATTTATGACACCCGACTACGTCTATCCATGGCGGAGGTCTCACTTCTGGCGTCAACACCCACCTCTAAATAGCTTTGTTTAAGCAAACCTCTAATACGCCTCTGTCTGAAGATGAAATTATTGTGGAGGTCTTAGAAACTGTCTGAATGCTACTGGGATTGATGAACAGACCTCCTTACCTCAAAGTTGATCAGTAGAAATGATGTTTCCCTCCCAGCAGATGATTTGATAACTTCAGTGACTTTTGAAAGGTGTCTCATTTAAATAACTTAAAATTGTTTTCGTTTTCTCCTTACGATAAGTTATTTTAATTTGATTTGTGCTTGACTGAAGTATGATGTCAACTGGATCACTTGAAGTGGTGATCTGAAACTTTCGGTACTTGCCTTCTTCCATCCTACCTCTTCCGATTTATGTATGACTTTGTCAGTTGTCAGTACATATTCTCTCGTCTAACTGTAGATCTGGAGTGAATCATGGTACTACCTTCTTGAAGTTGATCGGGTCGGGTCATCCAGTTGCGTGTTATCGATACCCCCGACCCCCCCACCTCCCCGGGGTGGTGAATGGCGCTTGTATTTGGGGCAGTCCCCAGCTGTTGCGAGGCTAGCAGTTGTTGCCACCATTTATAGTGCGTCCATCGAAACCATGTGACTTCCTCATGCCTATTCAGCAATTTTGCAAACCAAAAAAAGAAGTAAAAAGGAAGCTTTGCTCTTTGGGTATAAGGTATCTGCTCCATTTAGCGTCGCCAGACAGGCTGCATTCCACATCGTCTTGAGTGGGTGTTCACACTCAGGAGGGTGGTACGTGTTACCCGTAGGGAAAAAAATCTCATTTTTCGGAGTCACCTCATCTTGTGATTAATTCCCATTCATCCCTACCTAAATAAGGTAGTTCACTTGTAGTCACCACTGATCCCCGCCTCTTCTTCCATCCCACGAAAAAAGGTGGTTATCCTACGAGAGGTAATTTTTTTTGCTAGGCTCTCGTTTCGTGCATAAGCCAGCTACACTGTCAATACAGTTGCCTGCATTATCCGCCATTCCTCCTCCTCCTCCTCCTTCCTTCCCACCCGTGTTTCATCCCCAAATCTCCTTCAAGCGTAAGTCAGCTGGCAACACGACCATAATGCGTCCTGAAATCGGTGAAGTTACCTTGACATAAGCGGTGCTATAAATTTCAGGCTTTTCATTACCTTCTATCCCAATTCTATTCATTTCAAAAGCGCTTTTTGCCTTTCTAATAACAATATCACTTCTGTTTGACGCAACGTCAACACTTCCGCCACCTTTGGCACAAATTAATGATCCATGATATGTGTGTATGCGTGCGTGTATATGGATCAAGTCACAGGCCTCGAAACAGTTGTTACTTGTGGTCTCACAGTTTGCTCTATGCAGCAACTTTCACAAAGATGAAGGTGAATTCAAAAATTCTTCTACACTTCACTTAGTCTTTGAAGTGTCACGTTAATTTTACCTGACCCACGGCCACGGCTTTTTCCGGCTTGAACCTGATTGGCTCTCAATTCCCGAAACTATTTGATCATGGTGATTGGCAACTTTTTTCCTTGCCCTCTTGCCATCCAATTATTTAACGATATTTATTCCCAGGAATAAAATGGAATTTAGGTCATTTGTTTCCCTCTCTCCCCATCTCCCTTACAGGAGGACAAATTTTTGGCCTTGTCCTGTCATTCTCCGTACAAATTTTCCGTCGACTGCTTCACTAGGCCCAGTCTAAACTATTCCCCGATTTCGGCAAATGTAAAAGGCCACCACTTTATAGGCTTGCGTAATAGTAAAATTAACTTAATTTTCGTGTCCACTTTCTTGTTTAATGTACAGGTTAGCTTAAACAAACGGTGGGGATACCGGAAAGGCGGGAATCTGCTCGCACACCCATCCCCCTCTCCTCAATTAACTTTGCCTCCCATCTTAGCTTAAATTTGGAAGAAAATATTTGATTCTTTTTATTTTTTTAAGAAGTTTATTCATTTCTCCCCAGTTTTTTTTATTCCTATATGGTAAGTCAAATGACCCTTGACGAGCCTGTTTAATGGTGGATGATTGATAGCTCGAGGCTTGGGGGATTAATTTCATTGGTAATTTTTTTTTCTCAATTTCATAACCTAGGCACCTTTTAAACCGCGACTTTTTCCTCCTCTGTTGCCTAGAGGCGTAGAGGGTAGCCCATACAAAGTTGTGCAACACAGTACGTAGCATTACGGTGAGGTGGTATTCACACCTTAGTGTTCTCTCTACCGCCACATCTCATGCCAAAACTGTCACTGCTTCCATGAGTTGTGGTTCTATTCCACCACGCCCACGTGCGGAGTGTGTGTGGCCTGTCCTCGGCTGTGTGAAAGAACAGGGCGCTGACTTTGAGTTGGTTGAAACGTGTCCCACCCTGTGCCGATCGGTTTTGAACTCTTAGGTCACCAAGGCCACGCGGCGCTTGACTGCCCCGTTTTTTCTAGGGTCATTTCGCAAACTGCACTCTGCTTGTGTCCACCTCCTTCCTCCTCTTGTGGATTGTTTACTTCCCAAAAGCTCACCTTTTGAACCGATTTATGCTTTGCGGATTTGGCCTCGGGCTCATGACACACTTCCGTCCACGAAGGGTAGTGGCTTCATCAGTGTGCAATTCCTCCCAACTTCTGGTTTCAAGAAGTAGTATTGACCCGCCTCACACCTCCACAAAATTCGTATGCGTCGCCTGCCTGTTGGATTTTCCTCCTCCAACATTCCCCACCGAAGGGCACATCAAGCTACCTATTGCAAGTCGGTGAAAATCAATCTGAAAGGCAAACAGCCGTTCATCGTCCACCGTTTTTTAACCAAGGGCAGAACATTCGGAAATCATGCATCATTTTTTCGTGTCACTAAAAGCTACTAAAATTGAGCTAGAAAAACCCACATTAACTAAGACAGGAAGTTGAAAAGTAGTTTACGACTTACAAAGACATTTGAAGAGTTTGCTCCAGTATGGAGCTAGCCGGAGGAGACTAAGTCATCAAATTATCACTTTTAGGAGGACCACTTCCACACGCAACAGGACCTCGACAGGGTCTTAACAACTCCTACCATTCTGCCCACATTTCCGCCTCCCCCATGCCTCCCGTGATTTGCGCCTCGAACTATCCCCGACAGAATCACTCCACCTCCTATCAGACACCGATATCCTCTGAGGAGCGGGCCCCTGCGGCTCCAATTCCAGCTCGACGACAGTTTAGCAATCACCACTATCATCTACCTCCCAATCCGCCTCTTCAAAGGCTTCGTTCTCCACCGCCACCATCACAACACCAACAACAACAACAACCGTTTCCACCGTTACCAATGCATCAGTCTCAATCTCATTTCACTATCCAAATGCCTTCCAGTCGAGGCACTGCCTTCAAGAAGTTGAACAACACTGCCGCACCCCCTCCCTATGACTCACTCAGATCTGTTATCGGTAATCCAGCCAATCAGGTAAGCACAGTTTTGTCCAGACATTTGATTGGCTGGAAGCGCATTTTGCTCCCACATTTTTAGGGATATATCTTGGTGATTTTTGGAATCTTCTGACCACTAAAACACCGAACCATCCACTTCAACTTATTCCCTAGTATCCTAATCCTAGCAGTTGTAGGGCGGAACTTTCAGATTCCGCGTAAAATTTTACTGTACCCGCAATAGAACGCTACCATACAAAGGCGATGTTTGAATTTCCTATCTTTTCACATTTTTCATACTTTTTGATGCATATGTCCTTTTACACGATCACTTGACCAACAGAGTACTTTTAGACTCACGTCTCCAATTCCTCCACACCCACACACCGTTAGACCTTTTCGTCTCCGAGTTGAAACAAGTTGTTGCTTGTCGATCGCACTCGTCAAATAGGTGAGATTGTATTAGTTTAAATACAAAAGCTGTGAAAAGAATTCTTGTGGTTGTGTCGATTGATGCCAAGGTACATGGAGACACCTAGTTGCTGTGACACTCCTCCTTTCAAATGTAAGGAAGTGCAATGAATTTACTGCGTAGAACTAAAATCTAAATTCTCATGAAGAAGAATGGTTATTTGAAGTTCAAGTAATTTGTACTTCTGTGATTCACAATCCACAATTTGAAGATAGATAGCTTTTCGGCTCCAAAATCTGGGGGGTGAGCTAATTCCGATCTTCTTTATCTCCCCTTCGGCGCCACTTCTCGCGTTGCGATCACCAACGCAACGTACACCCAATTAAATGTCTCTGGCCTTACGATGGTACAGGAAATTGTGCCTAAAGAAGGTGGATTCTATTGCCCTTGATTTCTAGCTGAGGACGAATGGAAGGTGACCATCATTGTCCGTGATCAAGGTGGAGCTATTAATGCATCATTTCCAGGGCTAGCATGCGGCGACCTGTTTGTTGTAACTGCTTGGCCTTAGTTTTCTTTTTGGGTAGATGTAAAAGTTAAGCGCTTATTTAACTTCATGACTCGTTGAAAAAAGTTAAGATTCTTCTACAAGCACCAAGGCCCCGATCGGTGTCATTTGGCTCGCAACTTGGTGCCCAATCGGCATTGGAGACATTGAGACTTGAACATTTACGTGTTACTCAAGCTTCTAAGTGCCTGTCTGTGTATGTGTGCGAAAACATTCGTGACGTGTCGTTTTGTTTAAGTGGATGGATCACTTATGTCAATTGCACTAACCTGGCTTGGTGTTTGGTTTTCTCTCTCCTACTCAGACGTTCTTCACTGTACACATCTGCTTAAAGAGTTTAAAGGAGGGCTTTTATACAATCAAAGAAAAGGATATTCAACAAGGCTTATGGCTAGTTCATTATAACATAAACCACTAACGTCACATATATGTGACATGCGTGCATTATCAGTTTATTATAACTGATTGCGTTCAGTCGTGTTGACTGAGTTTAAAGCAAAACACTACATGAATTATTGGCAGTTGACCCTGTCAAAAGAAGTAATGACAACCGGTGATTTGCTCAAAGTATCAAACGATTTAACCACATTCTTATCGCCCTCCGAACCTCGATGACATTGACCTTCACGTTGATTGGCTTTCTTGGACAGTTGCCTTTTATGAAGCCTAATGTCTTACCAGTGTAAGTAGGCTCATAATTTGATCCACTTTGAGTGGTTCGACTCAGCTATGGTGAAGTAGCGTAGTTATTCCTTCACTCTCTCTCAAGTTTTCAAAAGGCTATTTGTTTGATTAGTATGGGGGACTGTAAATCATCACTTGTGTTGTACCGCCAGTTTCTGACATCCGTTGTATATTACCAGAATCGCTGAGTGCTTTGGCTAACAGTCAAAAAGGCTGAACATGCTGAACGGAGGAAACTTTGCTCAGAAAGTAAGTGTTTTTTTTGCTTAACACTGGCTCATTAAACCACTGGTCAGTCGTTTGCATAAAACGGTTGAAAGTTTGCGCCTTACATTGCTAGTCAACCGAGACCCGAGAAAGATTTTCGGTAGGGGATGAAACTGACATTTGTCCTAAACTTTAGCCCTACAATTTGTCCAAATTTACGACCCCAAGACTTAAATGTATCAATTGTGTTTGATGAGGATCAAGTGGTGGTAGCTGTGGAGCAGACCAGGCACCCTTGCAGTTGATAGGCAGTAGGATTGTTTGTTAACTGGCGTGGGAGGAGAAATGGCCTTTGTACTGCATCATTTGTTAGATGAACGAACTTTTTATGGATTATTTCCAAATACCTTGCTTGCTACCTCAGATGGACACCTGTTTTGTGTGTTCGTGTGGTATTCACTTACTGAAACCCAAACAACCATGACTGAGGTCCGTCTACTCGACTTACTTCCACATGCACACACACACTCACTGAGTCGGAAGAAAGTCCTCCTCGCGAAGGCCAGGCCAAGACCTCATCCCATTGCTAACCTGACCTGTAAGACGATTTGTACTTTAGGCCGGATTGGAAGGGGCTACCGCCTCACCCTCACCTTTTGTGTTCCCTGACCCCTTCCCGCCAGACAATCACGCGGACGATTGAGAAACAGAATTGTGGTAAAAATGAATGCTTCTATGGCTGGGTTTGGGTATTTCCTCTTATTTGGGAAGGAAGTCATTTGTCATTTGATGTGTACAAGTCAAATTGATTAATGTGTGGTTTAACTGTGGGTCCTTCTAATCAAGTCTGTCATAAGGAAGGTTATTAATGTATCGGAGTAGGGCGGGGGGGTTGTCAGCACACCATCCAGTTGATTAATACCACAATGTGCCTCTCAAATTAGCCTCGCTTCTTCTCCCTTAAATAATCCAAAATGTCGGCAGCATTTGCCATGGAGACGGTTCGTCCAAAGCGATTGGCGACCCAACGATACTCACATTGTCCCACTTACTGTCAAGAATGAAGGAGGCAAAGGGAGAGACCGGGCTTCGGTGGTATACAAGATAACTGAAGCTGATCCTCCTCTCTCTCCCCTCTCTTTCTTAAATTTTCTAAGCCCCTGATACACTTACATGCACTTTCCCACTCTAAAGTGTTTGCCTTCTTCCTTCCTCCCTTTTTTGTGCTTTCGTCTGAGCGCAAACGTGTTTGCAGTGTCAAATTACTACGTCTTGTGGCTGATTTGCGGAACATGCTTATTTTGATTATGGCGATGGCTTAATGGCCTCCATTAGAATGGTCGTTAAAACCTGCGGCTGTATAATGATTCACTCCGGCAATCTTGCCGTCTATTTTAAAAGACGTTTAAGGGGAAATGCATTCCTTTTTTTCCTCCTCCGTTTTGGAAATCTGTTATTACCCCTTTCAAATGAATTTTTGGAATTGAAAAAGAAGGCAAAATTAGCTTTTGAAACACTTAGGTGAACTTTGACCCAGAAGTGCTCTCATTGGTGCGGCACTGGTGGCGCCTAGCAGCTTGGATTTTGTTGTTACGAAATGGACAAATCAGACGGCACTCCTATATCCATTATTGGAGGGAGTTCGTCTACAATCCTTCAACTAGTTTGTGGTGAGTTGGGCGTCCGCACTTTTCTTCCTTGACCTTAAGGCTTCCTTCCGGTCATCCCATACCTGATAGTAATCACGTGGTTTTAGTGAATTGCACTTTTTATTGCAAATGAGGAGAAATTGTTGTCTGCTCAGCAATTCCCCTCCTTTCGCCTTATGATCTGTGCAATTAAAACAGCTTTGTGCATTATTTATGAACCCCAATTCTCCAACTTGACTTCCATTATGACCATAAAGTTGGAGAGTAAATTTAGAGACACTTGAAAGTCCCTCCCCATTGTATAGTTTTGTTGGAGATGATAAAATTCGCGTCTAAGCTTGTCATGTGACTGCTTTCATCCGTTGAGCCGGCTGTTGTTCCTGCAGTTTTGTCACAGGTTTTCTCCTCCCCAGGTGAGGGGTGGCGGCCTAACACCAAAGGGCAGGGAACAGCAGCTTGTCATTTGGTAGATAGTTTAAGCAAAAGGCCTTCCAGGGGTACAAATTCGTCTCCCAAGTTGATTTAAAAAGCTCAAAAATAACCTTACGGGAAGGCTTTCTTGTTGCAGTGTTGGAAAGGTTGCTTCGATGGACGAAGCTATTCTTTGCAGAGGTATGATTTGGGGCATTACTTTGAATTTCCCCCCTACCTAATCCTAACAACTAAACTTATTTATTTAGTCAATCCTGGAACCACCTCTAGCGGTGGCCAATCAGAGATCTCCTCCCCCCTTCCCCAAACACCTTCATCGGGGTCAACTGAGCCATGTCAGACATCCAGCGAAGCATTTGTTAGCGTCCGCTACCCTTTGCTTTTCATGACAGTTCCGGTAATATTAATGGTACGCCGTTTCCTGGCTAGTGGTTGCATGGGTCTGCGTGCAAGAATGAGTCATCATAGAGGGTTGGGGGGGAGTGAGGGGCGGGTGGAAGGTCACAGCTCCATTGGGGTCTAGGGTGACGTCGCCTTGGCACGCAATGTTGCGTGACAGATGCTGAAGGTAGAGGTAATTGCGACTGTGGTTAAGGTTTCTAGGACTGGAAGTAATTGGTCTGGGGTAGTGTGGTCACTTACCGGAAGAAAGATCAAATGGTCCTTCTCGCCTCTCCGCAAACCTCTCGCACATATTTTCCACGTCTACTCGTTTAGGCCATTGAAATGACGCTGGAGGCTTGATTTAGATCTCAACTAAACGCCATACTTGGACTATCTATGTGCTTTTGCCCTTATAGTAGCACCTTGGCAACGTCTGGGGATGGTAGATTGAAGGTGACTCAACATCGGGAAGGTGTAGCAGTCAGATGGTGCAAGATCTTTTAAATAGGGATTCGTTTCATGTGGCAAGTTGCTAAAGCCAACGTTGAAGACGATTAACCACGAGGCTACTCGATTTTAGACTGCAAAATCTTCGGTTCCGATTTGGAAGAAATAGTTGAATCAACCGAGGTGCCTATCCGGACATTTGATAGCATAGAGGGGGGTAAAAAGGAATTGATGAAAGGAACATTCACTGCCTGCTAATTCTGAGGCGATCGAGTGGAGTCTTTTAACATGATCGTTTCATCTAACTGCCTGAAGTAGACCTTCTTTTTCTCCACTCCGATAGTTCCAAGCCGTCTGTGAACTATAGTTAACATAGCAGCCTCATTTTAAGATTAAAAACTTGAGTACGGTGCTTCGTGACCTCTTGTTTTATTTATTTACTATCTCTTGACGCCTCGTTACCTCTGTCAGGAAAGGGGACTGGTTGTCACAACCCATTAGCCTAGTAGTTGTAGACGCCAGTAGGCACACAACACTGAAAGGCCTGAAAGACGAAGTGAGTAGGGGGTCGGGTTAGTAAGGTGAAAAATAAAATTAAAAACGCTTCTATTCCAAATTCTTGATAATACTCTCTATGAAGTGCTCAAGAAATGGACCTGCAAAAGGGGACCTCAATGCAGTCCCATCTTGCATTTTTACTAACCCCAATAATAATTCAATAAAACCGTAGAAATCTTTGCATACACCAGACTTAATTTAACACCGAAGGCGGACTTTAATTGTCAATTGCTCACTTGTCTCATGTGTAAATGAGCCTTGTCACGCGTCTCCATAATCGTTCAGGGTCGCTAAAAAAAAAAACATTGTTTCATTGGTGCTCGAAAAGTGGCTTGACAAACATCACCCTACTCCGAATTCCCAGGAAATAGACATATTTATGGATTATTTAAAAGCTGAAAAGAGAAGAACTCGAGGTACCTTGCCTCCTTTCTTGCATAATTTAGTATGCGCGACGACGAAACAGAGGGGAGAAAAAACAATGGGTGCTGCGCTCTTAACCACAAAGAGCGACTTCGTCCGTAATTATTTTTAAGAAATTACCTTTTAAAGTAACCCATCAAAGTTGCCTTCTTTTAACCTTTTTTTATTGGGTATTTATAAATTAGAAAGCGATGTAATTGGTTCGCTTTCTTTCCCCCCCCCCCTCCTGTCCCCCTTCTAAAAATCGATAAAAGTAGTTCTCTTTTATTCCTTTCCCCCCTTCTCCTTTTTTTAAAACAAAGTTTATGGAAGTTTCCGCTGCATGATGTTGCGGATTAAGTTGCCATCTGCAGTTGCAAATTCCCCGCTTTTGTACAAATTTTAGAAATTATTTCTCCGCGCTGCTGCGGGAAATGTACACGTCAGGACTACCCTTGTACAAGTTTGTGTCTGTGTGTGTGTGGGTTTCAGTCAGGTTTACACAGTCCATGGGTCTATTGTCTATGTCAAACACTTGTTTAGTGAAACAGCGGTAATTTTTTACACCCTCAGTGCAATGTCTGGACGGGCTTTTTAAGGCGGTTTCGCCGTGGACACAGCTCGGGAAGGAAATATTTGTTGCGTTGGAACGTTTAATAAAATTAATGGCGTTTGTAGTAGGGAGTAATTTTAAGACTGTTGACTTGTCAATGTTTGAGCAAAAATAACAAAAAAATGTTGGTTATCATGACTATCGGAAAGGATCCCACTGCCATTTACTCCACTTTTCTTTTTTCAGACATATTTTTTTCCCACTTCTACTGCTACTAGTCGTTAAAAAATCACGGATGATGTAACATTTTATCAGAAAGCATAAAACAGTGCAAATCGGGTCGTTGAGAGGACTGCCATTTTAGATTGGGTAGGGTGACGGAGGATACCGATTCATTCTCATCCACCGCATCTTCCAAATCGTTTGAAGTGGTGTTTTTTTTTGGATGAGGATGGTAGGAGAATTGAGCATAAGAGGATTAGATGAAAGTGAATGATTAGGTAGTAAAGTAAACCCTTGTAACGATTGCTTGGTCTTCTCTTCTGGCTCATTAATTCATCCTGTCCGATTCATCACTACAGCGATCGGCGTCATGGCCTGTGTGTATGTCCTGCAAGCACCCAAAGAAAAAAACATCCAGTGGCGGTATTTGATCCGCTCCTGCTGCCACCACAAGCCTTGCTTTTTTTGAGGTGTTCGTGAACAGAAAGTCGTTAACACTGTTGGTAGTGACGTTCTTCTCACGGCACTTCTCACTCACAATGCATCACCTTTTGAATAAACTTTTTTCCCATGCATTTCAAGAATATGCACTTCATGTTCTGCATATCTATTGCTTTTCTAGTTTTCAACTTTCTTTTCCAGCGAACTCATCATGCAACAGGACCACCACTACCTGTCTACTTTTCACCCAGTCTGACTGCGAGTCCCACGCCTCAGATGCGGAATAGGAATGCAACACCGAATGTGGGAACCCCCGTGGGTGGAGCGATACTGCCAGGGGCTAAGAAAACCTCGCCTCTACCCTCCACTCGGCTCCAGCATCAACGCCCTGAGGTCTTGTCTCCTATGTACCAGGTCAGAGCTGATCAAAAAGTATCGGAAATGGCTCCGAACTAGTGTTTATTCACAACATTTCTTACTCTTTCTTTAAAATAACATTTTTTCTTACATCTGTTTCTCCCTGCTTTCTAAATTTATTTAGAATAGTCAAAGCATTCGTCTTGTGAATTTCTCAGAAAAGTAGCCGAGAATTCTTATGCCTGAGGTTTTTTTTTTGGAGAAGGAAGGCAGAAGGAAGAAATTATTTCCCGTCTAAACTTTATAACACCTTTTAGATGCCTACGAAATACGAAGATTTTGATTGGAAAATTGGGCCTAACTCCACAGATTTAAATGCATTAGATGCCTGTGGAGATTTTGAAGATTGCGCACGTCTTTCGAAGTTTGTTTTCCTCCCCAAAACCGGAATTTTTGTCTACTTCTCATATGCATTTAAGCACGATTTAAGCTCGTTGAAGAGTTCTGGAGTTTTTCGCTTTGAAATTGGAAGCCCCCCAGAATTTGTATTTTACAGCCGCTGCCACACTGAATCTCAACGTCTTCTACACTCTGCACGGAAATTTTGCCCCTAAATCCTGAAGGCGTTTTTTGAGGCGTTTTGTTTTTTTGTTCCGCCCAGACCGCGGCAAAATTGACTTTGAATGGCGATCATGACGAAACGGCCGCGGGAGAAGTGGAGGAATAGTGGCGACTCCGTGACCTGACTTCTTGGGTTGGGGACGAAAATCGTTGCTAGTGAAGGAAAAGTGTACTTTTGTGGCACACAAAAAGTGTCAGTCATTCCACCATAAGTAGTTTAAGTTTCAAAGAACCGCCTCCCTCTTCTCAAGTTAATTCCTATTTGCCTTTTTCGGATCCTTGAAACTTCTCCTCACCTCCTCTCGTTGATTCATCGTCTATTTCACCTCTTTTTTCAATCAAATCCATGGCATAATGCAGGAGACATTTTGAGCGATAGGGGCGTTATTTTACCGAGAATTGTGAAGGTTCACTTGTGCTTCCAATGCCGGGCTCATTAAAAGCAAGTTTCACTGTTTCCTTCCGCTTCTCCGAGGCGGTGCAACACCTAGGACCTATCGAAACTCAGATCCAGGAGCTAAATTTGGCCGCAACTTCAGTTACTTTTAATCACTTTCTTTGATCTTTTTGTGCATGGTATTCACCGCCTAACTTCGGGAAGTAGTTTCTATTCATTTGGGGGCAATTTTCCTTCCTATTCATTTTGCTGATCAAATGAAGCCTACTTTGCGGTCGTGAAAGCTCTTGCCCTGGGGATGCTAGGTTTACTGCGGTGGAATGCGCGACTCCTTTCACGTCGCCGACTTTGTGTTCCATTTTCGGAGTAGAGTATCCGATTTACTTCCGTGGGGATCTCTGCTTCACGATATTTTGACAGTCAAACTTGTCGCTTTACGATCTGGAAGCCTAAAACCAAAAAATCTGTATTTTAAAAAGAAGTCTTTTGTCTAAGTAGAAGCGTTTTATTCCCAGATACATTATTTTTGTGGCCACATTAAAACGCCTCCATTCACCAAAAGCCCTTACTCTGGTGCTTAAACCTCGCATTCATGGTTTTAGGTTGGAGTTTTGCTTTGCTATCGTACAAGACTTACACGAATTTTTTTGTTTTCCTCTTTTCTCCTCTTCTCAGCCTAATTGGGGCATCGTTTGTGTCGTCTTCCTCCTGCCTGCCTACATTGATCGCAGGGTCGGGGAAGATAACCAGTCAAAGGGAGGCAATAAATCTTGTTGGCACTAATGTTCACTTAATTCCTCGTCATTGTATCCTCAAGCTCATTTGATGCACCCATTTTTACCCAAATTTTGATCCAACTCTCTCTGAGGCCAAGTTGGAGTAGAATGCATTTACAACTGATGGCGACCGTAGAACCTAACCTAAAAGCCTGCGTAGTATCGATAGGCTCTCGGTGGTCACTCCCCCACGTCGGCTTCATAGACCACTTCCAACTTCCGGAATGTATGTCGTCGTTATCGACGAATTCACGGATGCATCCTCCTTATAGGGTGGGATGTGGAGATTTGCTGACTTTGCGCTCCATTGCTATTCATCAGAACATTTGTCTTCGTCCCACTTTTTCCCCATTTCCTCTGCTGCCCATTCATCAATCCAAAGTCCTTTCAGTTGGTGTTTGTGCGCGGAAGGTGTATCTTTGTGCAAACACTGTAGGCAGCTCCATGAAAGACGTCTACTTTGGTGTCACCTCGGTTCTTAATGGCTACGCTGCAAGATAGGGATTTGAGGTGACCTTCGAAAATCAACAGTGCCACTGATGACCCATTCATCATGGATCAACAGATCCAGTCGTTCACATCGGATGCATTTTCACCTTTCTTTTGGAGTGATTTGTTAATTGGTGGCACCAATTTAACGCCCAGGTCCTCCCTGAAGATTTGGTACGCTGTTCAACGTCAGGATGGTAACAGAAGCCGCAAGAAGTGAAAGTACCGCGCCATTAAATCAACTATTTTAAACAATAGCGTATCACCACGGTAATAATTGGAGTGGAATATTAAAAATTTGCGTTTTAAACAAAAAAATCTCATTTTTTGAGTGGTTCTGATCCTAATAAATTACAGTCACCATGGGAAATCAGGCCGGGGTCATAGCGAAATTCCACTTTCATCTTATCATCTAATCCACCACATTTCAAGCATTAGTGGTGTTCACTTCCTGCCCACGGGATTCTGTGGGTTTGTCCACTTTATTTTCTTTTTGGTTCACTTAAATGGCGAAAAAAACCTTGTGATTTGGGCATGTGGATTGCTTCTAGAGCGACTCGAGACTACTTCCACTGTGTGTAGTGGAAGGACTTCCTCGCCTAGCTGTCAGTTGAACAAAAAACCTAAACTTCTTTTTTCCTCTATGCTTTTAGCTACCAGAATTTGTGAACTCCCCACCTCGAAATCTCGAGGTGTCGCCAAAGCAGAAGGCCAGGCTGAACGAACTGCGACGCGAGAAGGCGGCTTATGAACAACTGTGGCGGAAGAATAATCAACTGGGTAAGATTTGACCTGCAATTCACCCTCATTACTGCCTGTCTCGTTTTACTCTCTCGTGAATTTTAATGAATAAATTTGTTATAAGTCGTAATTTTGTCACCTTAGACCGCTTTAAATGGCGTGATCGCTGTTGTAGATGTCATCGTTTTTGGTTTTCAAACACACCAACAAAAAAGGTTACATTTTACTTGTGGGTACTTTGACAGTAAACGATGCAGTAGTTTTCGCTTTAAATCCTCTCCTAGTTTAACTTGCATTGACCTATTTTGTGGATCTGAGAATCCACCGTAGCATTTACGAGTTCGGTTACAAATGGCGAATTGCTTCGGGTTGGAGTGGGTGAATGGTTGCAGGTATCTTTTGCAGGATTTTTTGTTTCAATAAATTAATGTAAGAGTTGTGGAGCTGTTTCTTTTAATCGGATTGTTTTCTGGTTGAGAGTTTTTTAATTCACCTGCTTTAGTGGTACATTTCTTGACGCAAAATTAACACGTGCCAACGTAATCAAAACAAGTCAGAGCACTGTGTGGGCCAGGTTTGTAATGCCTGGTTTATGATAACGCTGATAAATAATGAAACAAACGACAAGATTATCTGATAGAGGTATAGTTACGTGTATATTTCCATCTCCTCCATTCTGTGAGACAGTTGATGGTAATTAGAGGCTACTCTGCTTCCCACCCGTCAGAGATGCTAGCAAAGGGGACACGCGCGTAATTAGAGAGTAATCCCTCTTTCCACCTCCCTCCTCTTCCATTTCAAACTTTTCCAGCTTTCAGGTGACTTTAGCGGGTCATTTCTTTCCATTTTTTGTTAGTAGTTATATCCGCGGTTGCTACTTTGCAAATTAAGTAGCATGCAGTTGATCAACCACTGGTGTTATGATAGTTGCATCCTTTTCGTCATTTTTCACAGATTGATGTAAAATAATCCGCCAATTATAGCTGCTTTTTGTCCTTCGTGGAGTGTTTTACCGAATTTTTATTCACAGTTCAGTAATGTATTCGCTTATTTAGTATAGAGACTATACTACTTATTTCCGTTCAGTCACACAATGAAGCAGATTATCGAGATGACTTAATTTCCGGTAAATAGGAAAGATTTGTGTGATTTGTTACCCAGGTAGGGCTTGTAAAGTTCATGCATTATAAAGCATAGACAGATGTGCAGAGGTTAGTCTTTACTGACTCTCCTACCAGCTGAAAGTGCCCCCCAGAAATGTTTTAAATAAAGAAGTTAAGCGATAAGTTACTCAAAAATATGTACATCTTGTGGAGAAACGCCCTTTATTCTTGACCACGAAGAATTGCTTGTAGCCATTGATTAAAAGGGCTAGAGATTAAGATGTCAATGGTAGATTACGGTGAATGATGATGAAATACTTTACTAATACCCATATCAAATGGCAGGCGTGAGTCGTGGAAGCCACACTCAGTAAGCGGTGACGGGAAATGATATCGTAAGCTTTTAAGGCGGGCACTGCTGCATTCCCAGAAGACTGCGCTTCCCTTGGATGAGTGTGTGAGTGTGTGTAGCAGCCTTTCACTGGGCAACTTCTACTTGCTTAAGGCCAACTACTTCCAACACAGCTTGAAAATGGTAAAACAAGCTGAACAGTCGGTCTAAAGAAGGCTTCATTCTTTCGAGGTAACTTACCCTCGATAAGACCTTGCATCGCACTTTGGGATGGGAAAGAGATACTGTCCCATTCGCATCCCCATTATTCCCCTTTTTAATCTTTCAAGTGCGTGGTACCCCTTTAGAGACAAAGAGTGGAACTCCCTGCAGGCGCTCATCTCATTGGGAAAGAATTATGTAGCATGATTACTTTAACGAATCAAATTTTCGGTAATTATTTACTTTTTACTATAAATAAACCGCACGAACTTCTTTACTAATCTATTTTAATAAATTTTGAGGATTTTTTGGCATTTGAGTATCTTTGAATAGAGAACTGGGTACATCTGTGGTAGCGGCTTGAGGCTGGTTCACAGCCGACTTCTAAAAGCCGCCTCCAATCCCATCGACCACTACGCTGACCCGACCTGAGGTAAAACTTGTTCAATGCTTTTTTTACATCTCCAAGGGAAGACCTACGAATCCACTGATTGCTGTACGCCCTATTTACGACCTGTATCCCAGAGAGACAAGCTGCTACATCTTTCTCTCTTGAACAGTTACATTTCACTTTTCCACTGTGCTGCAATTCAAATCCTGCCCAGTCATTTATCTGGGCTCTCCATTTCCTCTAGCTTATTTAATTCAGATCCTACCCTCCTATTTTCCATAGTAATGCAGAGTGTTAAAGTCGGCTGGTTCCTAAACTAGTTTTTATGCATGTCTACATATTCCATCATCCACATCCTCCACCTCGCTCGGTAAATAGCCGATCCAGTTAGACGTGAGTCTTTTTGCAAAATACCAGTGGAAACGACTTTATTTTTCCGTCAGAAGGAAAAGATTTAAAGTAGATTACACTGCTTTGGCATCAATCTAAAGGTCAAATTCTACTTGAAGATGTTGGAGGTGTGTGGAGTTGTCCAGAGGCTAGAGACCAATCCTGAAACAACCGCCCAATTTCATTGTGATTGTGCTGTTTAGTGCCTCTTCCACCGGAAATGACTTAGCAATTATTGTGGAAATAATTTAGACTTTCAGGTCAAATCACGTGAATGTTGGAAGATTTAAAAGTGCTAGGGCCTCCGATTGGTGTGATTGTACTGAAGGAGCACTTGAAAAGCCACTTTTGTAGTAGACTGACTTGTCTGGAGGCCTGAACAATCATTGAGCAGTCTGCTTCACGTCGTTATCTCTTTGGAGAGTTGGTCTGGTACTAAATATGCGTCAACTTTTTAAATGAGAATTGTTGCTACTGCAGAAGGGCTCGTCTCTTGTGTAACCTTACTACGGGTTGTATGTCGCGTGGGCGTCCTGGGTTAGCCTGACGTTCCACGATGCTTTGAAGGACTGTAAACTGAACTGAGTACCAAATTGTGGGTCGGGGAAGTACCACTGCCTTCTTCGAAGCCCTTGTATCACTCATTGTGCTGGGTTTGAACCCTTCAATGGGGGTCCGTACCCGCGAGTTCCAGCTTCACGCCCTCATTCATGCCCGTACTACCATTGTCCCCCGCCTTCCTGTTTAACATTGTCCGGTCTGGAATGGTTCAGACTTGCAACCTAACATTCCTCTTTGTAACTGGTAAACCGAAAGTCCCGCAAGCACTTGAACGCCCTCTGTATGAGTAAAAAGTCTCATAAGTGGACGATTTAAACGATCCCTCAGACTGCCAATTGTCTACCTGTAAAATATCAAAGCGATTTCGACTCTTTTCTCTACGAATTTTCTATAGCGATTATCAGAGCTCATTGTTCTCCTTTGGTAGGGGAGTAAACAGTTTCAAAGTCCCCGATTTTCTAACTCTAAAGCAACATTTTACAGTCCTCCACGGATCTCTCTTTGTAGGAGTTCGATCTGTTCTGCTTTTTTCCCTTTTCGAAGCATCTGTTTAGTGTTTATGAGTCCCATGAAAACAGGGGATGCATCCAATCGGTGACTCCATTAGGCTGAGGTCGTCAAAACCCTGTGAGAACTTTTTTTCTTTTCGGTAAACTTGGCCATCCAAATAACCGTGCATGAAAAGCGTGGCATTCTCACCGGACCTCCACCTACACCGAAATCCCGTTCTTCATGACGTACCTACTCCATATTCCCGAGGTGGAGTAGCCGAGCAATTTTGGGTGGTTCCCTGTTTTTGCTTTCTACTAGGAGTCAAATGACTGCTAAAAGCCTCCTGAGATATTGTATCTAAGACTTGTCAGCCTTTCGCGACAAGAAACATGCTTGCAGCAAATTGCGCTTTGCCTCTAGAAGTTAGAAAGGAAAAAGAAAAAACAACCTCTCCCCTAGCTACCTCCGCGTCTCTATCTCACTTTCACCTTCCAACTGTCTGGATGGGATTACCTGTCTACTGCCAAGGCTACGTGATAAGCACTTGGAAAGATATCAAGAATGCGACAGTACAGGGGCGCACCAAAGGGAAACGAGAGATTCACGCATATAAAAAATTGCAGGCATTTTATGAGTCTCTACACCGAGTTATTACCGAAAACTGCGCGATTTTTTCTAATCACTTGATGCTATCTCTATTACTGCTTAAAACACAAACAGTCTCTATGTGTGTGAGACGATAAAGACTATCTATCACAGATTTATGCGATGGCATTGTGTCCTCTCAAGCCAGGTCATAAAATTACAATTTGCAGGCTGTAGAAATACGTAAGACATCTATCGAAATAGCTACGTGTTCACAGATGATTAATACCATTGCTGGAATGCCTGAGTGGAAGGCAACAGGACAAGTGAGAGCGGAGCGGAGTAAGGTAGGCAAGTACGGCGAAGTAGTGTACCCACTAGGCTTGCTCCCTAGTCTGCACTAACCTCTCTACCAGCTTACTTACTAGCTAACTAACACCGACTGGTTAGTTCACTGCGATTATGCAAATTTGATGCACACACACGCACACAGTGGCCAATGACACGAGAGGGTGTGTGTATGTGTGCGAGTGAGTGTGTTTGTGTTCGATCCCGTGAGTTCGTTCACACGCGCCTACCAGTCTGACTCTTCACCTGGTCTGGCACATTTACTGAGGTCTCTCGTCAAATCCGGTAGGCTCTTTGGTCTCTTTCTTGCTCCAACCTTTCAAACTACCTACTACAGCAAGTTTTTAGTCCTTTTTTTTTTTAATAAAATCGGAAGCTATAAATCTAGTCATTGTAATGACCCCTCTACGAGAGGGTAGAAAAAACCAAAGTGAAATTTCATATCCCTTCAACTTAAATATTCTGTCCAAGCACTAGTAATCGGACATTTGTTTCAGACACATGCATACATTTATTTTTGACAGTTTAATGGAATTTATTGTAAAAGTAATTTGTCCCCCTCCTCCTTTGGTTACGCAACCACCACATACGTTTTACGACTACCCAATGAATTGCGGAGACACAGGCTTCCATCAAAAATGGAAAAAAAAAGGCACTTTTTGTCGAGTCATTTGCCTTTGATAAACCAACGAGTGATGTGGTAAGCAAAAAGCGTATCAGTGAACCGTCAATATGTGATGTGACAGACTTCCATTCGTGGAAGAGAGCTTGGCAACAGTTGAAGAAGCGGAGTTCTACCTCCACTTTCTTGTCCTACTGGATTGCGTATTTGTATATAACTGGGAGACACAGTCATCAGTGATCTACACAACTTTTTTTTTTCTCGCTCCTCAGTCGGCTCTTACCTAGGAAGTCAAAAATGCATTTCTGTTTTACCTGTGCACATTTTCGACAGGAAAAAAGTGGATTTGCTTGATATTAACTGGAAAAAAGGGGTAGAGGAGTTTCTTTTCCCGGTGAATAAGGATGGAACAGTTCTTTCGACTGTTTAAGTAGTGCTTTGCGAGTCATGGCGCTGATTGATTTGTTTGCCGATTTCCAAGTGGAAGCGGCAAAACTGGTTATCAAAAATGTCTCAGGTCAAGATTGGGGTTGTCCAGCAGCCCCTCCCCCTCCCTCATTTGTTGGCTCAAGTCTCTTCCCACTTCATTAGGATATATGGAATCGCCTTAAAATGGACTCTTTCCCGTCGTCCGAAATTTTATTTGGGGCATGGTAGGATTATTTCCGACAATTTTGAAGCCTGGTCATGTGAGGCTTGTTTGGTAGGCTTCTACAAACTTCCCTTCCTGCTTGATGTAGGGGACAAACGAGTCGCCTCACCATCAACCACGTCAAACATGATTAAAATTTGCTCCTTACGTGAGTAGATAAAGGATCTTTCTTAATGTGGTCCACCTATCCACCTGTCTATCCATCGGCCTATCTCCCTGTCTATCTGTCTGGGTGATTCACCACCACCACCATCGACGCTTCTTTGAAACCAGATACCAAGAATGGACAGTGTATTCTGTTACCGCATTTCCGTCCTTCTCTAAATGCTCTACAGCCCAGTTCACCAGAATTCCGTTTCTGACTCAGTTTTAGAGGTGACTGCCAGACAGGCAAGTTTGAGTCTCATCCATCAGTTTTAGCCGCCAATTTATGAATGTGAGCTAGGGTGGGGTTCATGGTACAAGAAGGTCACCGATTGACTGACGTGCGCATCCGTGGTGTGTAACAATGCATGCAAACAATCATATGCACCTCAGAGGTGGGAAATTTGTACAAATGAATGTTTCCCAAAGCTTTTTGGTCACGATTTCGAACTCAAATGAACAAAAATTGGGTGGAGGGAATCTGATTTATAAATTGACGCTCTATGTTTCGTAGGTCTACTTTTGCTGCATCACTCTTATAGGCTAGTCTAATACATCGAGTAGTCGCTATTGCCAGGGATTGTCGCAACTTTCAGTAGACAGCGTATTGAGTAACGCCCCCTCTTTACTTTCACTTTCAGCCAGTTCGAACGCAGCAATGGAGAATCAAGTGGCTGTCAAAGATAGGGAGCTAAAATCGTGCACTCGTCGATCGGAGGAGCTCTCAACCAAACTCGACACTATTCGCAAGTGGTGCGAATGGCTCGTTCAACCACCGAACTCACAACTAGCTCGGCCCGATCGAAGTCCCTACTTTGAGACCAATGAGGTGAGACTCTTTCTTCTCTTTCTCTCCTTCTTTATTGTTTCGAACTCGTTTAATCAGTTTGTGACACGATTCGGTGCAACCACTTTTTCCTTATTACATGCTAGACATGAAAATCTGCGCGTCACATATGTGTGACGCCGTTAGTGGACCTATTAACTGAGAAGTTGATAAAGTATTAGGGAAAATCCAGCAGCGTTTCATATGACCTTACTTTTATTTTTAAGTTAACAGTCATTTGGTGGAGTTTTTCTTCTTGTTCAGTTTTTTATCAACGTAAATGTACAATTTGTTTTGACAAACTAACACTGTCAATAAAAGGTTTCAGCAATCATAAAGGCACCTTAAGGAATAGCAATTAGTCTTTCTTTGCATTGTTGTAAGCCCGCTCTCTTTCTGGCAAACTGGCTAACCTTGGCGTTTGGAGCCGCATATGTTGCCAATCTGGAGGGAAATGTCTGCCAAACCTTGTGTGGAAATTGCATTGAAGAGGAGGTGATGGTGTTTTTTCTTTCGATAGAAGGTAGTCTTAAAGCACACATTCATCTTCATCGGTGTGAGTTCATTGTGGCGATTGTGTTTGCTCTCGTAGGGTTGTTTGTGTATATGTGTGTGTGGGCGCCAGGCGATGGACCTGGTGACAAAGGAGAATCCATAAATAGTCATGGAAATGAGAAGTTGCTACAAAGCTGAATGTTAGAGCTGGGTGATCAACAAATTTCGTGCCGCTTGCTCATATGCATTTAGTATACACCGCAGATGCGCGCGTCAGTCAATTGGTGACCTTCTCTCTCACATTCATAAAATGGTGGCCGAAACTGATGGATAGTGTGTGAGCTTGCCTGATTGACGAAGCGGATTTAAGTCGCTTCCAAAGCTGGGATAGATGTTGGATTCTAGCGAAGTGTGTTGTAGAGCTCTTGGAGAAGGAGTGGTATGTGGTAGCAGAATGCACCGCCAGGGATCTGGTATCTGGTTCCTAAGGCGCGATGTTGAATCACTCCAGGACAGCCGGATAAGCAGGTGGCTGGGTTGATGCATCAGATTGAGGGGGACCCTTTATTTACCAATGTGAGGAACGGTTTTCAGTCAAGCTTAACGTGAATAGTGGTTTAGGTGACAGGTGAAGGGGAAGTTATAGCAGCACATCAAATAACTCCCACAAGTCACGCGTTGGCGGATGTTGGTGATCCTCGAAGACGCCCACTTCTCTGTTATAGGCTGTAAAAGGTGCTGCGCATTTTAGATTGTTTGACTGACTTTGGATAAGGAATGCGGCACCTACTACTCAGCCCAAACGTCAAAGACAGGCATACCTTTTACCTCGGAAGAGGTCTCCGTTGCTTTGTGTATGTGTATCCGCATTTTTGTGCCGCGGACGCAGTCACTTGCTTGCTAGCGGATGAGCTTTGCCTCCTTTAGACCAATCGAGTATGTCCGCAAGTGTTTCTCATCTCCTCCTGGAAGCGAATAACCAAGTACATACAACAGGATGTCTGGAGGCGGAATTCGCTGTGCATTTTCATCTCGGATGGAAGGGTTCATGGAGCATTGATTGACCCGGTGACTAGTTCATCGAAGGAGGCACTTATCTGGCGCCTCATCAGTCGAATTTTGAGGTGAAGATACGTCAACTTCCATATTTATATGACTTTCCGGCCCAAATGCACTTACCCACTTCAAGGTCATTAATGTGCCTCGGTGTCCAATCAGAAGTTAATGTCTCCAATTGCCAAGACTGCCATCGCTTCACTTTTTTTCTTTCTAAAATATCAATCCCGTGCTGTCAAACCTTCAACAGACGATGCCATTTTTGTTATGCCATTAATCAAACGCGGACGACTGTCGGAAATGTGTAAATTTATGGCTTCCGTTTACAGCCTTGAGGACACACAAGCAAGACGGTTCTGGTGGATGGAAGGCCTCTTGCTTCATTTGACACCTGTGAAGATGTTGCAGCTTGACTATGCAATCACCTCCACCGGAGCCTTTCGCAATATGCTCACACTTCATTCATCATTTCGTTAGGTTGTGCTTTTCAAAAGTACCTTACAGCTTCTTCATACAGAAGCACTGGATTTTTCAGTTGTTCAGGCTACATTTTTTGGGTGGAGATTAATGACACCTGTCACTTTTGAGGGAGAAAGCTGCTGATTATTATCGAGCTATCAGCAGCCCTATTCGACGTCCAGGTTCCGAATTTATTTCCCCACTTTCCTTTCCCTCTATTCTATGCGCAAGTGGAGCTAATTGTGGTTAGTGTGTTTATTCATTCCCTACTTTCACCACCGCAGGATACAACACGATGGAAGAGGGCCTTTGATGAGTTGTGTCGGTTGGATCGAAAAATTGGCAATTTGCGGTCACAACGACGCTCTCATCCAACGGTGTCCAGATTGAATGCAACTAAGCCTTCCACCACTTCCTCTCCGGCTCACTTTCCACCCTCCGAGCTTCCTCCGAAACCATCCACTGAGAGGTGAGTTTATTCTCCATCTTCTGAACGTAACACCTGAATTATCTATATGCCTTGCAGCAGGGCTGGAAAACGAGGTTTGTAGGTAAAATGAAGGAAGGCGCAAAGCTACTAAATGGTAAAATCGTATAGAGCTTCCTTTTTTCCTATTCTCCTCAGCATTTGCCGTGATCAAGCCTCTTAGTCGACCATCACAGCCGCATTCAAGGAGCACATAGTTCACCTGGATGAATTCGTTTGTCAAGTGTCTTATGGCCATTTCACGCTAGAAGCTATTCAGGTCGGCACTTGCTCCGAAACAGCGTTGTGGAGCTGAGTCCCTAATTTAATTCCTTTTGTCCACTCCCCAGTTGCTTTACCTGATTCGCTGTCAGATCTTCTAGGTCGACTCATAGTTGACAACATCTGACGTCTCCGAAATTTCTGATTGAATCTTTATTCATGACGCAGATTTCATGGCAGGTCTGAAGGGACCGACTGACTTGGTAACTCTTTCATTTCTCCACAAAAAAATCACTCTCCCAAATTGTTAGTTAGCAGAAAGTAGATATTTTCCGCCTTCGTTGTGGATTTTTGCATTTCCAGATTTAATTGTCCTTTTGGCAATCATTCCACTTGTATCCAATATCACTCTAACTGCATTTCGTCTCAATTTACGCTCTTCTTCAACATTTCTACGCAGTACATGCCAACTCTATCCTCCTTCAAAACAAGGCCTTTTTTTTCATTTCATTATTTACTCCATTATTATTTAGTGGCGCACAAAAGTGGAGGTGTTTGCGGGGGTCGTAGACTTGCGTTATACATCCCGACTAGCCAATTTCAAGGTAACCAGAGCAAGTATAGAACAAGCTGGCATCAATGACAGGACTTTGCAATCGAGGGTGGAAGGCCTCCTTCACAGCCTCTGCAAAGCGGTACACCGATGTGCCACCTGTTTGTGTATTGCTTGTAATGATAAGACCAAGGTGTCGCTACTACCGAGTATGCGATAGAATCCATCTGTTATGGTTGCTACGACGTTGGTTGGTTCTGGTTTAATGGGTACAACATCATGCCAACGTGGCGGTACTGGTTGCGATAATAGTTGCTGTGTTGTGCACATGTGTGGGTCACTCCAGTCCCTACTCCGCTAACCGTGCGTCCAACAGCGTGTGATGAGGGGTCAAGGGCAAACCTACAAGACATTTCAATCACGTCTGTGTGTCGGTGACGCTGTTGGTTGTGGTGGTTCTCCCCCCAATCCGCTGCCTCAACAGTCACTGGCATGGCACGAGAGTGCACAGGAGACGAATCACTCTGTTGAAACAGGGAACACAACAGTTGCAGGTTTGAGGATTCAACACACGCTGGATAGAAATTCCAATGGTGATTCAGCTGTCCTGACAAATCTATGTCGACGGTGCTTTCTAGATATAAGTTAAGTGTTGACTCAAGTGTCCACCTGTAGACGAGGAAGTGGGGGACGAAAGATGTAAAGGAAAATAAGTTCATTTTCCTTTCCTAAAAATTTGCCTTTTCTGGGTTATTAGTCCACCAATCCCTGTTTAATCTGAACACCCAGTTATACTTATCCATGGGTGTTAATTTTAGGTTTTTCGGGTGACAGGTAATTCGCCTTCCAGATTAGAATCATCCATTAGGATGAAGCTTTTAAGAGTTCCACTTGCAACCACTTCTAACATCTACTTTAATGAGTTACCTGTCATAAGGCATGGAAGAAGAGCTGAGGGGCTATGAGTATGCCCGGTTGGCCATGTCAACAAATGAGGAAGTGAAACCTCGGTGAGAGAATGAGGCGCTTTTGCAGTTTACTGTAAGTTTAAACTAGTAGGACAACTTGAAAGTAAGGATAATCTCTAAAATGAATCTTTGAAACAAGTGGGACCAAATTAGCTAGGGTGGTTGTGCTAGCCAGGCTGTCGGGGTTCCGTTTCAAAGGAAACTGGGCCACCACAGTCCGGAGATGTCATTTCTACTGCGGCACTAATTATCCTCTCATTTTACTTTTCTTTTCTAATCCATTTCTTGTGTTACTTTAATCAAATTACCTGTGTCAAACATATGTGACGCTGATAGCAAGCGGTTAAATAGTTGGCGCTTAAGTCGGTTGTCAGAATGCATGTTTACTATTCTTTATCATCCTAGCGATTGACAGAACTCATGTCGATTTCACTTGATGCTAACCCCCTTTAAAGTACAGCCTTACTGTATCCCTCTTTTTCGCTTTCCGCATTAGCCCATTTTTTCTAACCAGCGTTGGGTAGGCAATGTTCTACCGTAGGAGTCGGTAAAGAGGGATGATTTTTTTTAACAGCTGTTCTACTGTACAAAATTACAAGTTAGTTTGTTCAAATAATGAACAGTTTACGCGTGTGCATGTGTGTGTATGCGTGTATTGGTGGAATGAATGATGTGGAAGAGGGGGTGGGTGTGGGTGCGAGGTGAAGATAAGATCAGCATTTTTGCGAGCCTTTGAACGCACTGAATTGAGCACAACTGATGCACGGAGGTAGATAAGGTGGAGAGGCGTGAGACTGAACGACCGAGTGGTAAAATTTATGCCAAATGTAAGCCTTCATGCGGGTTTAATGTTCATCGACCACCACCACCGCGACCAGCAGTTCGCCAGTCCTGCTGGTGCTGGTCTGATCGGGGCTGCTGGCCTGACCGGAAATGCATGAGCGCTTCGGTACAAGCCAGTACAGAAGATAGTCTCTTTTTTCAGAAAACTGCCTTACCTTGTTATTTACGGAGAAAAAGAGGCGGAATTATTTTTCCCCAGTCTATCCAACTTGGGCCAATTTAATTATGCGGTATAAATAATTTATCTCAAGCCGTCGGTGTGATGTGAGTCACATACGGTGTGTTTCTATCCTTGGGACGATTTGTTTTGCACTGGTGCAGTGAAATCAATTCCCTTTTTTCCTCCTTTGTTTGACCCCTCCCGACGGCACTTATCAAATGCAATCTACAGGCCAAATTCGCGCTGCACAGTAGTCGGTGCTGTGATTTATTGTCCCTCCTAATATCCTCCTCCCATGGAATCCCATTGAGGGACAGACGGTTAATCATTATTGTTGAATTGGGGCTTCTCTGTAATAGCGTGGAGGGGCTATCGTAAGGACTTACTGGTTGTGACAGCTACGACCGTGAATCTCGTATGCCACCATTTTAAGGGATGACAAGATACTTGACTCTTCTCCGTCTATTTTAGACAGACTTTTACTACAGCGTTCATTAGACTATCGAACATGTCATTGGTTGGTTCTCTTTAGACGACCCACCACCCCACTACCCACCTCCCATTTCTAGGGCGGACATACCCAGAGTACCTTGCCCGCTCTGTGATCCACTGCTAACGTAAACTCCGACTTGTAGAAAGTCTGGCACAAATTACGTCTAGGATCTGTCTCCCGCGGGTACACAGGAAAAACGGGTTAATAAAGTGCCAGAACTGATCAATT